CTTCTGGCCTCCATCTTGCTCTGTCCAGAGCCTCCGCAGGGGGCAGCAGGGAAAGTGACCAGGGCCAGAAGGGATGGAGACCTGCGTGTGTGTGTGTGTGTGTGTGTGTGTGTGTGTGTGTGTGTTTGAAGGCTGTCCTGGAGCAAATGGGAGGAATTATTTGCAGTTGGTCCGGAAGACAGACAGAGAATGGCGGCCGCAGTCAGGACGGTGGAGGAGGCTGGCCCTTGAAGAGAGGCCCTCCATCAGGAATGCCACCCTCTAGCTGACCTCCAAGGCCCCTTGTGAGCCTTACGTTACATGACTCCACCAAGGCCCTGGGGCTGCAGGCACCTTCACTGGCTGTCCAAGACCCCATACAGGAGCCCTGGGGTAACTCTGTGCCCTCTGTCTCCCCCCCTCCCACTCAGGAAAACAGGGAGGGAGGGAGGGAGGCAGGAGGGATGTGGTTGTTGGCTCAGGACCCCCCCCCCTCGCCCAACACGTCCTGCATCCAAGGAACGTGGCTCTGGGTTCCTCTTCCAGCTAGCCCCCCTTCCTGCCCCCTGCAGCCGAAGATTCCCGATCCAAGAGGACCCTGCCCTAAAAACACCCCCCCCAGCAGAAGCTGCAGCCCCAAGGCCGGCTGGTGAAGGGGCCCAGGGGGACTCCTAAGCCTCGGTCCCCTCCTCTGTGCCCTCCCCCTTCCCCTCCCCTCCCTCCCAAACCTGCACCTGCCACTCCAGGCGCTCCAGGCGCAGGGCGATCTTGAAGGCGCTGGACTCCAGCCCTGCCAGGACACGGGCCAGCTTCGTCTGCAGGACATCCAGCCCGTCCTCCAGGGCCGCCGTCCGTCGCTCCTCCTCCTCCTGCTTGGCGATCTCGGCCGCCTCAGCGTTGACATCCAGCTTCTTCATCTTGAGCAGAATCTCCCGGCCCTTGGCCTCCAGCACCGCCTTGGCGTTGGGGAACTCGGCCAAGACCTCCTTGAGGTCCTCCTTGGAGAGGCAGAAGAGGTCCGAGTAGCCGATGCTTTTGATGTTGGCCGTACGGCGGTTCCCGGACTGGTTCCCTGAGGGGCGGGGAAGCAGGAAGAGTCAGGAGAGGCTCCTGCACATCCCAAGGCTGCAGCTGATTGCACCTGAGCATAGACCTGAGCAACTGAGGAACCTGGTACATGCAGTGCAGTGAAGTGAGCCGTGTGGGATCTGTACGTTGGGGAAACAAAACAGCCACTTCACGAACGCATGGCACGACAAACCCATTCAGACTCAGCATTCTGCACTTAGGAGACAGCAAAGTCCACCTTTTGGGTAGAGGGGACCACTGGTTTGAGAGAAGGGTAAAAGGGGCTATCTATGCCAAAACTGAATTGACGGAAGGGGAGGGATACAACATCATCTCTCTTGATGCAGATAAACTTCCAGGTGGCCTCAAGGACTCCGTGAAAGAATGCAAATGACCAGCTGTGTGCTAGGAATAGAAATCCTTCCATTCCCAGCCATCCAGTCAGAGTTGAAGCAGCTTCTGGGGTGAGAAGAGAAACGTCTTCAAAGAAAATAACAGACCATTTGCCTCTTGGGGAAAAAAACAAAGCACCTTTGGGACAACCGGGACCTGGATGACTGAGAACCTCCAGAGACGTGGGGAGACTCGAACCAGAGTCCGAGAGAGGCAGTGATCATTGAATCTTGCAGTCCTCTCCGTGCTTCATCCCCCTCCCCCTTGTGCCTGGGATGGGCCACAGCAACGCAGGATGCTTCCCAGGCAGGAGGGGAAGGCTGGAGACAGCACAGGATGGGGCTGGGTGTGTGAGATTTAGGGCAGCCCAGGATCTCCCAAGATAAGAAACTGTGAAGAGGGAGAGTAGAAAGCTTTGAGTCTGGCAAATGACGGACTGGATCCTTTCCCCTCGTCCTCGGGCCAACTGGGAATTCTCAACTGGGGGGGGGGTCTGTCTGCTCCTCTGCAGCTCATGGGATACCCTGGGGGGGGGGATCCCTCCCCCGCTCCTCACCTTTGATGCTGATGATGCTGATCTCCCCAAAGTACAGCCCCTCCCCCAGCACCGCGTACTGGGTGACGCCGTCGTCCGCCACCACGGCCAGCTGCCCTTCACGGATGAAGTACATCTCCCGGCCGATGTCCCCCTTCCGGCAGACGTACTCCCCGGGGCTGTAGACCTGCGGCTTCAGCTTGAGCACCAGCTCCTCCAGCAGGCTCTGCTCGCAGCTCTGGAAGATCTGGACCTTGCGGAGGGTGGGCAGGTGGACGCTGATGGCCACCTCCGCTCGCAGGCGCTCGGGCAGGTGCTGGAGGATCTGCAGCTCGCCGGTCATCTTCTTGTTCATCTGCAGGTGCTGCTGCCAGTCGACCACGCGGTGCTGCAGCTGCCGGCTGACCTGCCGGGAGTGCAGGTAGTCCTTCACCAGGTCGTAGTTGGGGTAGAAGGCCTTGTCGGCCAGGTTCATGTTGGAGATGACGGACGTCATGCTGCCCATGATGGTGGCGAAGCCCATGACGGCCAGGAGGAAGTCGATGGCCATGAAGAGGAACTCCTCCTCCCGCTGGGGCATGGGGGTGTCGCCCACCGTGGTCAGGATGAGGGTGGAGAAGTAGAAGCTGTAGAGGTACTGGCGGAGGAGCCGGTCGAAGCCGGGCAGGCTGCCGTTGGGGCAGACCCACTCGTCCGTGCCGAAGCCGATGAGGCCGGAGAGCGCGAAGTAGACGCAGCTGTTCCAGTGGATGGTGACGAAGACGTAGAGCATCAGCTTGGAGATGCGGAAGGAGTTGGGGTGTGCCGTGCGGGTCTCGATGCGGTCGAAGGCCTCAAACAAGCGGGGGCTCCGCAGGAAGCGGTTGGCTCGGACCTCCGGCCTGCCCAGCCCCACGTGCAGGTAGAGGAGGTCGGTGGGCAGCACGGAGAGGAGGTCCCACAGGAAGGCCGAGGACCAGCGGTACCTCCGGGAGATCTGGGCGCGGTCTTGAATCAGAAACCCTTCTTTCAGGAAGCCTGGCAGAGAAAGGGGGGCATCAGCATGAGGGGGGGGCAGGAGAGGTGCCTGGCGAAGGGCTGGAGGAGCCCCTCTGCTTCCTCCCTTAAACGGCTCCCCCCCCCACGGGTCGTGAGCAGGTCCCCCAGAAGGAAGTCCCCGGGCGGCCTCTTCCGCCAGCAGCCTCTGGAGAGGTGGCTTGGAGAAGCCAAGGCGGTGCACGGGGGACCCCTGCCCCCCCCAGCTGGCTCCTCCGAGCATCTGGGTCTGCTCAGGTAGGGGAAAGGCCAGCCCTCTGAGGAAGGGAGAGTCCCTGCCTGCCTTGGTCCAGCTGGAGTGGAGGACTCTCCCTGGCCCCTGATCCAGTCTTTGGAGGGGGGTTCTGGAGAAGGCGGTGGGGCTGCAGCTGGAGAAACAGCTGGGGTGAAGTCACGGGACAGGAGCCACCTTGGTCCCCGGGTAACTGCTGCCCAGCACGTTGGGGGAGCATCACTCCTGGCCCCTTGTAGTCGGGCAGAGCCCCGGGATCAGGGTGGCATCCCAGTAGGCCAGCAGCCCAGGTGGGATGGCCTTCTGCTCCCCCCATAGTGGGCAGGGCTTGTCTGGAACATACACCCCCCCCCCCGGTTCTCTCTTGGTCTCGCCAGCCGTGATGGGAGCCGGCAAAGCGTTCTGAGTTGCCCAGCAACCCCCACTGGCTCACCCTGCGGGGCTTGGTGGCCAGCTGGGGCAGGGAGGCTCAGCGGCAGCAGAACCGCAGTGAGGTCTCCCCCCTGGTCAGCAGCGGGGATCTGGGCCCAATTCAGCCTGGACCTTCCCACTGGAGCCCCTTTAAGACCCGGGGAGGGAGGGGGGCTGCATTGGGATGGGTGATTTTTTACATTTTCTGGACATGCAGCCCCCCCCCCTCCTCTTTGTTTTTGCTGGCTTTGTATTTCTGGCCTGTGAAAGGGCGCCCTCTGCTGGCTGATCCTTGGCAAAGCAGCTGGAATCCTAGAAGCTTTTTGGGGGTGGGGTGGGGGGATGACCTGAATGTTTCTGCAACTGTTTGGGATTCCTTTTGGATGCCGATCTCCCAGAATCCCCAGGAGGGTCAGCCTGGGCAGGCAAAGGGCTCAGCACTCCTGTACAGGGCAAAGGGGCTTCAGGCAAACGCTCTGAAGCTGCCCGGACTTTCGAGGGGCCCTTGGGGCTCTCTGAGCTCTGGAGGGGGGGGGGTGTTTCCTGGCAGTCGTTACCCAAGATGGGTAAGACCACCAGTGCACTGATGTTGTTGCCTAGTTTGCATAATGAAATGTCTGCGAGGGAATACACCCCCCCCCCGAGAGCTCCTTTCAACCCCCAGCTGCAAATATTCTCCTGTGTCGGTTTCCAGACTCTGCGCCCCACTCTTCCTCCTGGGGGTCAGGATGTCTAGCGTGCATTGCTTCTCTCCCATGCCAGAGGAAAGTGGGGGGGGGAGAGTGGTCTTCCAGAGTCCCTCTAGGTTGGATCACATACATTAGTAAGCAAACCCATGGACTGCCCCCCCCCCAGTGCAGTTTCCACCTCCCTCCAAAGCCGGAGCCCCCCCTGTGCCACGCTCCGAACAGAGTCTGGGGGCATCTGCAAGCACTTCAGGGGCAGGAAGCCCAACCCAGAGCTTCAGACCTGTGACCCTGAAGTTCCCCCGGCCCAGGATTCCCCCCCCCACCCTGGGCTGAGCTTTGGGGGTTGCACCCCCTGGCAAGGCTATTCTGAGGGTGTTCAGAGTCACCGAATGCAGGGACAAGGTTTTGAGGGGGGGGGAAGGAGGCCCAGCCCACTTGGTGGGAAAGATCAGCGAGAGGCAGCCCTCCGTGGGGGGAGCAGGAAGGTTTCTGCCCAAGGCCCACCTCGTCCTCAGGCCCCCCACTTTGGCCGTGGGCAGCAGCATGTGATGGGGCCCTCCAAACTCTCCTCCCTCCAGAGGGACCCTACCCCCCCAGCTTCTCCAGGGCCCCCAACTGGACAGCTGTGGCCTCCTGGGGGATGTCTTTCCGCCCCACTCACCTGTATGGAAATGCACCACGATGTCCAGCAGGTAGAGCAGGTCGCAGAGGTAGTCCAAGGCCAGCCAGAGCAGCAGGTACCTCTGCTGCAGCTCAGGGAAGCAGAACCTGGGAAGGACCGGAGACGCGTCGAGCCCCCCTCGTCCCACCACTCCAGCTGTGCCTCAACCCAAGGCAGGGAACTGGGCAGAGGCCCTGCGCTCCCTCCCTCCCTCCCTGGCTGAGCCGCCCTCCCCATTTTGCAGCTGCCCCCCGAGCCCCCCCAATGGCCCGTCCCCTGCCCTGCCTTCTTGGCCTGGCCCATGCGAGGGTCCCTCTGCTCCGGGCTGGCCAGCCCTCCCTCCTCTCCTGAAGGGCCTTTCTAATTTCTGACTGCTCCTGGCTTGGCCGATAAAAACATCCCCCTTTCATGAGGAGGGATTTGAGTTGGGGTTTTCTTGGCCCTCTGCTGATTTTGGAGACGGTTCAGGAGCTCCTCTGCGCATGGCACTTTGTGGCGGGGCAGAGCTCCCCCCCCCGCTCCCTCCGGGGCCCTACCTGCAGATGAGGATGACCCAGTTGTAAAGGATGGGGGGCACCATCAGCATCAGCCAGTAGTAATATTTGTCTCCAGAGGGGTCCAGGATGCGAGTCCCACTGCCGGAGTCCTTGCTGGGGGGGGGGGAATAGAGAGGGGGGGGACTGAGACTCTTTCAGAGGGCAATTCAAGGGTTCAGCAGCCCCTTTAAGGCCCTTCGTGGCATGGGGCCAGGTGACTCGAGGGACCGTCTCACCCCACTGGGATTGGCCGCCCCACTCATGTTGGCAGAGGAGGCATTACTGTGGGTCCCATCAGCCCAATTATTCCGGCAGGTGGGGTCCAGGAGGAGGGGGACCTTCTCTCTTGTTGCTCTCTGGAACATCTTGCCCCCCCCCCATCGATGTGAAGTTGGCCCCAACCCTCCTNGCGCCGGCGCTCGCTGCCCCTGCTGCGGGGGACAGGGGGCTGAGCCGAGTGGCGCAGGCGTGGCGGACGGGCGGGCACGCCTCCGTCACCCAGGTCCCGCTCGTCGGGCAGGACGGGCACGGGGCTTTGGGGGCGGCCATGTGCAGAGTGCTGGGGGGGGGCGAGGAACCTCGAGGCAGAAGGCAGCTAGGCGGGATCCCGGCCTTAGCCGACCCATCCCGTCCCGCGCAGAGGCGCCCCTTCTTTTGGAGATTGGGGGGCGGGGGGGGGGTTAACAGCAGCCGCTGCTGCCGGGGCCTCCCGTCAGGCAGGAGAGTTTCCCAGCAGCGGCCGCCTTGCCAGGCACGTCCTGTTTGCTCGGACAGCGGAACCGCGCGGCCGGTGTTGACACAGGTGCTGTTTACCTGGCCACGGCGGGAACTGCGGAGCTGCACGTTACCTGCAATGAATTCCGCCTGACCATCCACACTCGGGTGCCCCAACCTAAACAGGGGCTCTGCGCCTACCGCCCACCGAGCCTGGATCCCTGCCCCTCTTCTCCCCTCCACCCCACCAGGGTCTGTGGAGCCCATTCCTGGCCCTGGATGCTGCTGGCATTAATCATGGATGCAGGAAATGCGGGGGGGGGGCGCCCTCCGGCTGCCATTCCTGCCCTTCCTGGCTCTGCTCTGGCACTGGGCGTCTGTGGTGGGGCGGGGGAGAGGGAGGCCGCAGCTTCTCCTCCCCTCTTGGCGTTGCACTCGAGGCCCCCGAGGAGCCAGGCGGTCCCTGCGTGGCCACCACGAAGCTTTGGCTACCTGTGTGCATCTCGCTTCTCCGCACTCGTGCAATGCAGCCAAGCTTTTGGCCCACGGAGGCCATGCAGCACCTCCGGCGCTCTGGGCTGCCTTCGGGACTTCCGTGCGCCTCGCTGCTTCTGCCATGAGAAGCTCAGCCAGTGCCCCCCTCCACGCGCCCACCCCTCCCCTCCAGCCGCCCCTCCAGCCGCCCGTGCCTTTCTTCCGGAAGAGCGGATGCCCTGTTCCCTGTGGTGGCTCCCGAGGCTCCCTCTCCCTCCCTGGGCTGCCCTCCAGCTGGGCTTGGGCAGGCGGGGCCCCTCGGCCCTTGGCCTCTGTGGGGTCTGGTCCCACCTGCCTCCTAAGCCGCCTATTCTGGCAGCTGAGGCCGGTTCCTTCATGCAGGCAGCAGATCCTCAGGCCCCAACGGAAGCGAGCAGGCTGGGATTCCTCCAGAGACTCTGCCCCCAGACGAAACCTCTGGAGTCTGTTAAGCCAGCGGAGCCACTGCGCCTTTGGTTGGCCCTGTGGCACAAGCGGTGTGGAGGTGGCCTCATCTGGGCTTCTGCTGCTCCCTTTTGAGTGCCGGCCATCCAACAGGGCCACCCAGAGGAGTCCAAAACTCCTCTCCCCCCCTCACTGCAGCTGGGAAGCCCCCTGGCCCAAAGGGAGCTTAGCAAAGGCAGGCCAGGAGGTCACACCTGGGACTCTTAGCCTCTGGGTGGAGTCGTCTCTGTGTGTGTGTGTGTGTGTGTGTGTGTGTGTGTGTGTGTGTGTGTGTGTGTGTGTCAAGGGGAGCTTCCTCAATTAAGCACCATCTGTGCCCCAAAAACAGCCCACAGGGAGTCTTGACCAAAAGCCTCTCAGACTTCGGGTGGGGGTCTTTCTGGCAGGGAGGGGCAAGGCTTCTCTGTCCCCATACCTCCCCCCCCCCAGCTGAGGATGCCAGGGCTCCCAGCCCCACATTCTGCCCCAGCTGGGTTATTCCCAGCCTCCCTCCTGTCTCCAGGGCTGCTGTGGGGGATCAGGCGTCTTTTTCTTTTCTTTAAGTTTTTATTTTATTTTCTAAACAAACAAAAACAAGCATATAACATAAAAACATCACCAATTACATGTGTGTTTAGCGTGTCATTTGGTCACAAACATTTGTGCATCTCCGCTTTCAATTGTGTATAAAATCAGCAAATATCAGCCCAATATACATGAGAACGTTGTTATCATTGTGAATCATATATTCCGTTTACTCTCATAATCCCTTCCTTTCAGGGGTCTTTTTCTGATCGGGCCCCAACTGCATCCCCAGGCAGCACCGGAGCGGCTGGGCGTTTCAAGGCCTGGCACGTCAGCCCTCCCCCCTCCCCCCACCCGCTTTGCCAGGCGATAGTTCCGTGTGCCTCCTGCGTATGTATGTGGGTGGGTTCTGCTTTGGCACAGGACGATGTGTGCCGGGAGGCAGGGACAGAGGGGAGGCAGGGCACGAAGGGGGCGGCAGAGAGAGAGAGAGAGAGAGGGGTGCCCACTCGGGGCCCATCGCCTGCTGTGGTTCACGCTGGGAGCTCCTGTGCCCTTCGGCTGGCTTCCTCTCTTGGCTCGTTCTTCAAGCAGCGGGGAAATCTCTGCCTGCCCCCTTGCCAGGGAAGGTGGGGCTCTCCTGGAAAGGGTGGGGGGCTCCCTCCATCCCAAGAAAGCCAAGGGGGGGGCATCCAAGGACCCCCTGCTGGTTGGTGGGGCTGGCCCCCTCTTGGCCAGCATCCCTCTGCCTTAAGCCAGCCCAGGCGCCCAAATCTTTTTGGTGCAAAGCGATNTGTATGTATGTATGTATGTATGTATGTATGTATGTATCTATCTATCTATCTATCTATCTATCTATCTATCTATCTATCTATCTGTACATACACATACACACACACACACACACACACACACACACACACACATACATGTGTGCAGACATAGTCTGGCATCGGGACTCGAACCCTCTTAGCCTGTTTGCGTCCCCCCCCCCACCTTCAGTTGGGATCAGGTGGGGAGTCCTGGGATCCAAGGTGGGGGTGGGGCGGGGCCTGAAGGGCTTGTCCTGGAAGACGCCCCAGGGAGGCCTGGTAGAGAAATTGTGTTGTTTTTTTGGCAACACACAATAAAAGTCCCTTCTCCAACCAACAACCACATTGTATGATCAGGATTTTCCGCTATACTGGTCTCTACCAGCCCCCCAGTATAAATTTAGCAGAAGAGGAGAAGGGTGTGAAGAATCCCGGCATTTATGCAACCCCCCCCCCTCCACGAAACCCCTCAAGGGCGTGTGCCAGGCTTCAGCCCTGCCTTCAATCCTGCCTTGACCATTGACCAGGACAGAGGCCAAGGGGCACTTCGGACCTTTGGCTGCTTCTTGGGAGTTCAGGATCAGACTGAGGCCCTTCTCTTAGGCCAGCCCCCTCCCCCTTTTGAAGACCCACCTGGGAGTTCCCTCAAGGCTTTCGCTGTGTCCAATCCACCTCCCTTCCCCTCCCCCCTCTCCACAAGGGTCTTCTTGGTGGCTCTTCAGATCACCCACCTTTTCTGGGTGATGGCTGGGAAGACCATGGCCGTTGATGGCCACACGGGTGGGGGTCTCTGCCCTTGAATATTTCCCTAGGGTTGTCCCCCTCTACTCTCCCCTGCATCAGGGCCCAGGACGGTGGCATCTCACAGTGGTGGCTGCCCCATGGATCCTACCTGGGGGCCTGGAGGTTGGGGAGGGAGTTCCTATCTCTCTCTTCAGGAAGCCTGTAGATACATCTCATGTGGCAGCTGCCTTTCGGGGGGGCTCCCTGGGGCTATAACAAGAAATGGTGCAAGAAGGAAGCCCCCAAACTCCCCCTTCAGCAAAGCTGGAGTCAACAGGCCACAAGAGCAGCACAGGCTGCACCTGGTTTTAGGGGGAGGTGGGGGCTTCCTTTTGACAGAGCAGCTTTCCCGGAGGCCAGTACAAGCCCCCCCCCCGGTTGACCATGGACATCTTGGGCCAGTTATTGGGGGTGCTTGCATCAGAAAGGCCTGCTGCCGTTTGGCCTTCGATGGGGGGGAGGGGAATGGAGAAGTGGGTGTGATTCGGCCTTGAGGGCTGCTTGCTTAGACCACAGGATGTGATCCCATCTCCCAGTTAGGGTGGGGTGGGGGGGGGGGCGCTGCTTCCGCAGCCTCAGGAGGGCCCTTCTGCAGAAGAGGGTTGCACAATCAGGACAGCTGCTCACCTGGGCTGGCAAAGCACCAGGCAAACCGCTACTTGTTGAGCCGCAGGTTGAGCCTTGGGATAAAAAATGACCCCCGACCGGAAGCTAACGTCAAGAGTGACATGACAGTCAATCTTGGGGCTCCGAGACTGCCGCTGAAATTCTAGCCACAGGACGGTCCAACTGGACCTAAACCGCCCCAAAGAGACGGTGATAGGAAGGGTCATATCCTGCCGATCCCAGAGACACCGCAAAGTCTCTGGTGGTCCAGGAATAGCCCTTTTTCCCAGTGGCTAGGAAGCAGCCATTAAGGCTGGTGAAACTTTTGCAGGGCAGGGCTGAAGAATTTGTTCAGTATCTGCAGGATAAAATCGCTCAGATCTGGAAGGGCCTGGACTCTGACTGGGTAGATTCGGGTGAGTTGACGGGGATGAATCTTGTGGAGACCATCTGGGATGAGTTTCACCCTGTGACCCCCGAGGGCATGGACAGGATTATGGGGAGACTCAGTGCTGCCACTTGTGTGCTGGACCCNGGTCCTTTGAGGGGCAAGTACCTCTTGTGAAGGCAGGTTATGAAAACTAAGGAAAAATGCTGCTGCCCGTCTTACATGTCATCTTAATAAGGGGGGGGGGAGCTTCGCCTGGTGCCTTCCAGTAAATCCTTTGGTCAGTGGGGGGGGGGGGGGGGCTTCTCTCTGGCCGTCCCCGTGGATTGACAGACTCAGGTTGGCATAATGCCCATCTCTGGCCTGAGCACGGCTGCCTCCTGCCTCCCCCTCCCAATGAAGGATCTCCGAGGCAGAGGAGGGCGAGGGACTCTGGGCCATTCACCATCTTATTTCTTTGGGCTCCGCTGGCGAGTCTCCACGCTGCCCCCATTGGGAGATGCCCAGCTGGCCTTGCCTTCTCAGTGGGCCAATGGCGGTCAGGCAGGAACCAGGGGCTGCTGCTGCTCAGGGAGGAGGAACTGAGGCTGCCGAGAGGCTGGGCTGGACACCGCCCCCCCCCCATGAGGGACCCCAGGGGGTCTCGACCAAAGCAAAGAAGCCCCAAACTCTCAGCTCCTCCGGGGAGACCAGGCTCCAGAGGAAGCCCACAGCTGCTCTGGCTGCGAGGACGTTGGAAATCGGGTGATGCTCTTCCTCCTGATGCCCCCCCCTCTCCACTTCAGTGAATGACACTGTCCATCCAGACATTGAGAAATGTTTTCCCCTGGTTGCCTTGGCAACGGCGCTTGCATCTCGCCACCCAGGTCACCCCGAGACAAAGGAGCGGGCAGCCGAGGGGCTCTGTGGGGAGGTCTCCTCTGCGGAAGCCTCCGGCCAAAGGATCTCTCTGAGCCCTTCCATTTGACTGCAGGCGGCCATTGCTGTCTCCGTTTGTCTCCATTCGTACCCCCGAGAGGCCACCTGGCCCCAGATGACGAGGGCAGGAAAAGAAGCCCCCCTCCCTCCCCCGATGGAAGCCCCTCCGGCCCCTCCTGGTGTCCCTCTGGTCCCCCTCAGTTCACGGGGGGCTCCTGGCCTTCCTGGGAGCTCACCAAGAAGGCGGACTTGCTCAGAGGCCAGGAATCCAAGGGGTCTCCTCCCAGCTGGAGCCCGGGCCTTGCGCCCCCCCCCTCCCGCCCAGGCAGCCTGCAAGGGAAGCAGCCCAGGGGAGCAGAGAGAAGGGCACCCCGCTTGCTTTCCTCCCTGTGAAGGGACTGGTGGCCAAACGGGGCTCCAGGCCTCAATTTATTGGATCCCAGTTAAAACGCAGAGAGGCGGAAGAAAGAGGCGGAGGGGGCTGGCTGGAGGCTGAAACCTACCAAGGACAGTTGTGGGATTTAGGGATGTCTGGTTTATTGAAAAGACAGACTGGTGGAGGCAGGAAATTGGTCTTCCAATATTTGAGGGACTTCTACAAAAATGAGGGGCTCAACCGATTCTCCAAAGCCCCCGAAGGCAGCACAAGAAGCAACGGATGGAAACTAACCAAGGAGAGAAGCAACACAGAACTAAGGAGAAACTTTCCGACAGTGACAACAATTCACCAGTGGGACGGAAGTTGCCTCCGAAGTTGTGGATGCTCCGATACGGGAGGTGTCAGACGTGAGAGGGGTCTTTCCTTCTTGGATTTCAGGCCGGCCATACTAACTGCCTTGGGAAAGTGGGAGGGGGGATTATGCAGAGTACGGGAGATATGTAGCCATAATAATATTCTCCTTAGAAAGTCAAGGTCCTTTTTGCCTCTGCACCTGGCCAGATACGGATGGGAGGAATCTGCCTTCGTGGCACTGGGAGATTGGACCATGGGATGGACTTGTTGGGGGGGGGGCAGGATCTAGAACTTTCAACTGGGGGTGGGGAAACCTGGAAGCTTTCAGATGTGGGTTTTCCCAGATATGCCAACATGACATCTCTCATAAAGTGGAACTTTGAGGAAACACAAGTCTTGGAGTTTTATTTGGTTGGGGGTGTTTTTTGGGAACCCTGACATTAACCCAAATCTCATTTAAAAATACTTCACCAGCTACCCCAAACCGTGGGGCTCTGTCCGGGGGCGGTCCTGAGCCCCAGGGTGATAGGAGGCTTTTAAGAAGAGATTGGACAGCCAATTTTCTGGAATGGTCTGGGGCCTAGGCCGGCGTCTCCTTCTTGAGCAGGGGGTTGGACTAGAAGACCTCCAAGGCCCCTTCCAACCCTATTATTCTATGTTCTATGACTTGAAGACCATTTAATTCATGACTTTTAGGTATTTATTAATACCTATAAGGTAAATAATTACTATGACTTATAGGTATTTATTAATACCTATAAGTATTAATAAATACTAAATACTAAAATACTAAATGACTTATTTGGAACCTTCCAAGAGAAAAAGAATCCCCTTTTAAAAGAGAGGACCTGGAATATAGATTGTATTTCTTTTTTATAGTTTGGGCAACAAATAAACTTCAAGGTAAAAGGTGATTGGGTGAGGAAGAGTCATCTGTCCAATTAGATTATGAAAAGTTAGAAATCTAATCATATGAAAGCATCAGAACTGAGAGGAACATTGTCTCCTGAATTAAAAGAAGCGCTTGCAAAAGGAAGAAA